TGTGTGTGATGGTGTGAGTATCCATACATGAGTGTATCTGTGTGTGTGTGTGTGTGTATCATGTGATAGTGATGTGTGTCTATGCATGATGTGTATGTATAAATAATAATGTACACACATATACACATACATATGTATGATGAATGTGTATAATGTATGTGTGTGTATGTGGTAAGTAAGTGTACATGAATGTTTGTACATTATTATTAGATCAATGGATATCTCCTGTTGTTACTGGAGACAGACCACCTCCTATTAGTTACTTCACTCTAACACCAGTTACTAATAACACTGCGGTAATGTTCGGAGGCTCTACTGATAATGGATGGAGTAATAAACTGTATATGATAAGTTTCACTAAGACATCAGTGGTGAGTTAATACTGTAGGATGGGTTTTGATTGTGAGATTTATTTGATTGTGAGAATTTTTAATTGTAAATTGTGGGTTAATTTTCTAATTATTAAATTGAAAGAATTGTAGTCCGTCAAACTTGTATCAATGTGGACATGCAAATTACAGTCAATTAATTATTTTGTTCAAAATAATTAAATAATATTATATTGAGTTTATTATTTTCTCAGGATATATTAGAAGTACCTAATCCTGGAGGATCAGTACAATGGCCTGAGAAAAGATGGGCTCATTCCAGTGTACTGATTACCACTAGTTCAGGACCACACTTACTAGTGGTGGGTGGAGTACCTGCCTATGATGCATGGTTACTTGACATTAACAAAATAAAATGGAAAGAACTGGTAAGTATTATATTATGATGCTTGATAATGAAACATAAAGTGATTAACTAAATTTGTAACTCATGAGGTTTGTAATGTACATGTACATATTATGATACTCAGTGAAAACTACTGATGAATAATGCTGGTATTCAGTATGTGTGTGCGTCTGTTTTTAGTGTGAATGTGTGTTTGTGTCTTTTTGTGTTTTGTGTTTGTTTCTTTACCTAAACATGTGTGAATATACATGTGTGTGTGTGTGTGTGTGTGTGTGTATGTGTAAAGATGGATTCACAATTGATAGAGTGTCAATGCTGGAATTAAAATAAATTGTATTTTATATACATTGTGTACATTGTGTATGTACATACATGTATTTGTGTGTATGTGTGCATATGTTTTAATATGTGTATGTGTGTACTAACACGTACATCATGTGTACATGTAACATGTACATGTGTGTGTATGTGTGAGCAATTATGCATGCTTTACATGTAGCTTTATATGTGTATGCATGTATAGATGTACATGTATGTGTGTTAGTGTGTCATTAGTATGTGTATGTGTATGTGTGTACATGCAGACACTTAGTAAGTTCTTAATTGAGGACTCACATGATATAATAACACACTCAGTTGTGTATACTTGTCTATTAATATATTGTGTATTATTAATTTTATTATGTCATCTTTGTGTTACATAAAACACACTGTGCAGACTATAAAACTGTGAGTTAGTTATAATTGTGTTTATTAACCACAATTAATATGTCATATACAAATAATTGTTTTTATTTTTATTTTATAGATTAATCTACCAGACACTGTCACTAGGAGATACTATCATTCTCTCTCAGTGTGGAGTGTGACACCAACTACTAACTGGATAATTGATTTTGGAGGATTATCAGCATACACTGATACAGCAGTTATTGAACTCAGTAAGTACATGTAGACAGTAGTAGATACAATGTGTATTGAATATGTAATGATAATTAGTAATGATAATATTACAATAAAGTAAGTAATTCTTATGACGAGACACCTACGGTGCATGGCCTCGCCCTTATGCTGCTATGGTGCATGCCCGCACTGCAATAGCTGTTTGATTATCAGCATGAAGAGAGTCTGCTCAACACTAGCTTCCTGCAGTTGCATGTACTTGCTCTTGAATACCTGCAGAGGTAGCAGCACTGCAGCACATACATGCAAGCAGCTCCAGCCCCTCCCATGCATGTAGATTGAAAGGTGTGGCATTACATCATCAACTGCAATGATGGCAGCAAGAAGACCATGTGAGAAAGAAGCTCCACTTTTTCTTTACTAATCAGCAATATACGATAAACTTGCTGACAGAAAGTTGTTGCCTTCATGTATTTGAGATAGTATAGGTACTTTAGTACCTATAGCCCACTAGGTTGTCACTCCAGCGCTTCACAAACAAGAACCAGGACAACTGTAACTCTTCACCAAGTAAGATTTAGAGAAATCTGTTCATATCTTTTGAAGGCCATGTTCTAATCTACTGGAAAATGCTACCAGCTATCTCTAGAGTGCCAACACCACGGAACTTGACTCACATACTCGATTTTCTCACTTTGAAGCTTCTTGTACCTAGCGCTGATATTTGAGCAGCACAAAACAGTTAAGCAAGACTTTTCCAGGCAAAAAAGAAAGATCTAGGAGCTTAGAACACGCTATACTAAAGTTATTGTTTATAAAGACAAATTCGCT